GGGGGGTGGGGCAGTCAGCTGCTCGTAACTCCTCTGCTGGGGGCTGGGGACGGGGGACAGGTGGGAGGAGCTGCACGCGCTGGCCAGCGAGCCGAGGGAGCAGCACGTGCTGATGGCTGAGCAGGTGGAGGACGCCACCAATGGCCTTTTAAGCACCCTCAGCAAGTCTGACATCTGCACCGCCGCCTCTCCAGGTAAGGCCTTCCAGGCTGAGAAGGTGTGGCCCCGCCCAGGTAGAAGCAGGGTGGGGATGGTTCCCGAGGCAAGAGGTCAGGAGGCTCCCCAGGGAGAGGGGAGGGCAAGAGGAGCGGGGTCTCGCAGCTTCAGCTCTGGGGTGCTCTGCTCGGGCTACCTCCCTGTGTCGAGCCCTGTGGTTTCTCAGCTCGGAACCCCGAGCTTGTCGCTGAGGGGTAGAGGGGCCCCGGGTGTGGGCCCCGGACCTGGTGGGGCCCCCTGTGCCTGTCCCCTCCTCAGGAGGAAGAGCCAAGTGAGCTCCCCAGGCACGGTCAGCACGGGGCCACTTCAGCTGGGGTGAGGTCTCTGCATTGCTAGTTGTCATCATCAGGCTCCACCCGGGAGCCAGAATAAAAGGCGCACATGTGCACAAGATGCGAGAGCTGTGGGCCGGGGGGATCCTCAGAGACTGGCTGCCCGGCCAGCAGGTAGAGCAGGGCCCCTCCCCTGACGTGCTCGGCCGGGTAAGAGGCAGAAGTAGCAGGGCTGAGGGTGGTGGGACCGCAGGTGGGGGAGGGAGATAACCCTGTCTTCTCCGTCACTGTGCCCTGTGGACACAGACTGCCAGGTCCAGCCTCATCCCTGTGAGCGCAAGACGCTGGAGACGGTCAGGGAGCTTGTGGGCAGTGCCCTGTGCTGGAGAGGATCGCGGGGGACCGATGCCGTGCTGGTGGCACTCTGTCCCTTCTCCAGGTTTGTCCACGTGGTCTGGGGTCAGCGCCCGAGGGCCTGCCTGGGTAGAGACGGAGACCCCCACAGCTGGGCGCGCACGTCCTCCGGGGAGAACAGCTGTTTGGAAGGGCCTTGGCCACGGAGCGTGACAGGGACCAGAGGAGACCTGGGAGGGAGACAGGGACAGAGCTGTGGGATCACAGGAAAGGTCACAGCTACACAGCGTCAGAATCTTGTAGACCCACGGCCCAGTCGCGCATGGTGAGTGAGGGTGACAGGGGCACAGCCATTCTGGAAGGCTAATAAGGGAGCCAAAGCCAGTCCTCTAGGGCAGTGGTCTGGACTTGGGGTGGTGGTCTGGTAATTTGATTCCTCTGAATACCAGTCTCTGTCCTTACGGGCCGAGTGGGGCGGGAGGCTTAAGGTCTTAGATAAATTCCAGTTGTGGAGGCCGTGGGGGATGATGCAGTGTTCGTCAGAACTGGAGCTCGGGCGTTCTAGAATACCTGCTGCCTGGAGGTCAGCCATTCTCTCGAAGATTCCTAGGCTAGGCTACCTGCGGTACAGCATCTGGTCGGCAGCTGGTGATCCTGTCCTCTTGCCTTCTCTGGAAAGCCAGGGGTCATATTTGAACCAGCTGCGTCTTTGGCCTTGGCCTGCCCCACAGTGATGAGCTCAGAAGACACCCAGCAATGAAATGGACCGGCTGCGAAGCTGTGAGCCATCACGCTGGGCTGGGGGCGAGTCCAAAGACCGTCTTGGCAGGGAAGGGCCGTGGCCTGCACGTGGGTCAGAGAAAAGAGGGCCTCATGCCTTGGCAGAGGCCACTAGAGGCCCTCTTCAGAACCCGAGCTTTCGAGTGAAAGAAGGCAGTTCTTTGTTTCCCCACTGGACTCGTTCTGAGAGCTCACTCTGAACCAAACGGGGTGCAGTGCGGAGAGAGGCATGGCCGCCACCTCCAGGAAGCTCGTGGTCCAGAGGAGGCATTGGACAGTGACCACCGTCAGGTGTCTCAGGTGCCCGGACGGGGCCTGTCCTCCCTGGGATGTCATGGAGAAGGGGCTGCTGGATCAGTCTTGAAAGAAACGGGAACCCGGTGATGCCACACAGAGGCATTCAGAGCTGGGAGCCCCAGGAGAAGCTGGTGGGTAGAGGACACCCTGTGGCTTTGTGCTCAGATCCTGGAGTCAGGCTGCTGAGCTGTTAATTCCCAAGTGACCACTGGTGAGCTCGGAACCTCCCCCTCCCTTTTCCTACATGTGAAAGGGGGAGGATAATAATACCCACCCCATAGGGTTGTGGAGAGTCAGCAATGAGTTGATATGTGGAATGCACTAATCCTGGAGGCTTTTAGAATTGTCTGCCCGTGTAGTAAGCTCTTCGCCAATTCCCCGATTCAAGAAACCCTGAGGGCCTCCTCTGTGCCTAGCACTGTCCCAGGTCCTGGGGAATCAGCGTGAGTGTCTCAGAAACAAGTCTGCCCTCACGAGCAGTGGCAGAAGTGCCTCCAGTGGCAGGAGGCAATAGTAGATAAAACGAATGCATAAAATAAACTGATAGGTAGCGATTAGTGCTACAGAGAAAAGGCACGAAAGGACGGGTGGGCGTGGGGAGGTGGTGGTTGGGGCAGCGTTGGCAGAGTGGGCAGGAAAGGCCTTGCATAGAGTCCAGGCCCGAGGGAGCTCAGGAAGGAGCCGTGAGCGATGTGCAGATCCAGGCAAAGCCCTGTGGCCAGTCTCTGCTCCAATGACACGGGATTCCCAGTTCAGGCTGGGAGGAGTCCGCAGAACTTTCTGGGCTAGGATTTGTGGTTTTAGGAAGTCACTAGGAGTACATGTGGACAGGGAGAAGATTTCTCTTTAACGAGCTGGCAGCTTGGCAAACTTTTGATTTCAGCAACTCCTTGAGTTTGTAATTGATTGGCTTTAATCCCAAGTGGGTGTTTTGCTCCAGGGAAGGGTCTGCCCTAGAGGTGAGCCCAATTAGCCTGCCCCTGTGGTGGGAGGCCTGGGGGAATCACACAGCCAGAATCCAGTTGCCCAATTCCCGCTGTTTCCCCGCCCTCCCCTCCAGCACTGCATTGTGCCGGCCCCAGAAAGTAACCCGTAATAGAAAGCTCTGCCGATAGTTCAGAGTTCTGAGCACAGATATTTCCAAATTCTGACATCGCCAACTTACATTTTTTTTTTTTTTAAATTTTTTTTTCAACATTTATTTATTTTTGGGACAGAGAGAGACAGAGCATGAACAGGGGAGGGGCAGAGAGAGAGGGAAACACAGAATCGGAAACAGGCTCCAGGCTCTGAGCCATCAGCCCAGAGCCTGACGCGGGGCTCGAACTCCCGGACCGCGAGATCGTGACCTGGCTGATGTCGGACGCTTAACCAACTGCGCCACCCAGGCGCCCCGCCAACTTACATTTTTTAAAAACTGTTTCCGGGTAGCTTGGAACTTTCCCTATTCTATCCATATGCAGGTGAAAGTTGGGGTAGAATCAAGACAGAAAGACGTCTTTCTTGACCTGTATCTGCATTGGAATCTCATACCGGCTTTTAGCGGTTTAAATTACCTTCCAGGTTTCTGCTTTCGTGTTAAACTTTTGCTCTCTGCCATTTGTTCCCTTGGGTGACAGCTGGAAGAGAGTGGTCCTAACCCACCCTGCCACCTGCTACAGGACAACCTGCCCAGGTACAGTCTGTGTCTTGGATTTTCTAGCTCTTTCTGGGCCCTGGGACTAGGCTGGCATCTAAAGATGTGTTTGCACGCCTGGGGCAGAGGGTGGGGTTGGAACCAGCTCCCAGGCAGGGCGACTGGCATTTCAGAGGTGGAGGCGAATGCTCATGCTGGACTCATTCCTCCTTTGCTCAGTGGCGTTTTTTCACTAAGAATGAAGACTTTGGAGTTACCTTCCTTAACCCGTGCCCCTTGCAGGACAAGAGGCAGAGAAGGGCGTGCCTTGAGCACCGGCTTTGCAGAAAGGGAAGCTCACGTCCAGCACCAAACTCCAGGCCGGACACTTAAGCCTCAGTTTCCTCCTCTATAAAACAGATTGTCCCACGTCTGGAATCCCCGTCTCCCTGCTCTGTATGATAGGGGGTATCATAAACGGGTTCCTAGTGAAGATTCGGTAGATAAATGCCCACGGAAGTGCTTCGTCAGCCACAAGGCGGACTCACTAATACCATTAGGCATCGTTCAGCCTGGCTCCCCAGTGGGCCTTCCTGCTCCTTCCCCGGGGGTCTAGCGCACCCCACTGACCCGGGAGCATAGAAATTGCACTCATGTGTTGGCATCAGTCATTTATGGGTTTGCTACTGCCGATTGAGGCAAGGAGCCCGTCTCCTGGAAGCAGAGCCAGCTGCACTTTCTGCCCCGAGTTTGGCGATCCCCTTGACATCCTGTTTTAAAGTTCCCAAGTTGCATACTTGTGAAACACAGAAGAAGCTGAAAGTAGGGTGGTTTCTTCCTCAGACATTAAGGTTTGAGGGGTGCCTGGGTGGCTCAGTCGGTTAAGCTCAGTCTTGAGTTCGGCTCAGGTCATGATCTCACGGTTCTTGAGATCAAGTCTCGCGTCGAGTCCTGCTTGGGATTCTCTGTCCCCCTCTCTCTTTGCCTGTCCCCCGCTCACGCGTGCTCACACGCACGTGCTCGCTGTCCTTCTGCACCCCCCTCCAAAAAAAAAAAAAAAGGAAATTGAAGTTTGAGCCTAAAGCTTTGGAAAGAGAGTGACCCGGGTTTGAGTCCCAGCTCTACCCCTTTCCAGCTATCTGAACTGCACGTGACCTCTAGTCATTGAACTTCAGTTTCCCCATCTGAAATGAGGGGACCTTGACAAAACCTACCTCATCGGGCAGTGTTCGTGAAGCGAGATCATGCACGCGTGGTGCTTAACACAGTACCTGGCAGGTAGCAGCTGCTCCATTAAAGGCCCCATGTTCATGTGCCCCCAGTTGTTTCCATGATACACAGGCTGACAGAATAGCAGGCCTGGGTGCCCGGAGTTGGCCTCAAAAATTCTACCTCCAATAAGCATACGCTTTAATTATGGTGATGTGACCACCACATTTTCTACATTTTTATGTAGAAAGGACAGAAATCACCAATTCCCGTGGTAACCACACTCAGCTGCTTAGTAAGTCCTTTGCATATCATGATACGTGAATTCATAAAGATCTTGTCTGTTCTAACTCTGGGAGGGAGGTCGTGTGGTATCATCTGCATTTTACAGTAATTGATAAGGGAATTGAAAGGAGCTCAGATATTGACCATAGGGTATCATAGGTAGGACACTTCAGAGCGGGCCCCATTTTGTCACGGGCTGTGGTTTCCTGTATAAAGTAGCCCCTTTGGAAGAGACACTGCCCCTAATTTGGACCTCACCTCCCAAAGCCAATGCGGTGTTAACATGTTATGGAGTGTTGGCTTCACACCAGGCTTTGTGCCAAGACTTTGCGTGGATTAGTTCGCGTGATCGTCACAATAACTCTGTGGAAGGGCTAATTATGGTGCCCATGCAGGTGGAGGAGGCCACATTCATGGGCCCCAGGCACCAAAGGCTCACCATCTTGCAGTGGCAGCCCAGAGAGGCCGTTAAGAACAGCCCCATAGAACTTCAGGAAATGGCACACCATGGTGCCGCCTGAGTCTTACGGACACCCGCGTGGCTGCCATGATGCTACTGAGATTTCCATCCTCGCCGAGCTCCGATCCAACACCAGTTAATCACTGCAGCCCCCGGGAGCTCCTCCAGGTCTCCTCGGCAGGCGGGGGCTGTGAAGCCATGTTGTGCAGTCGGCTAAGGCTGCCATGAACAAATATCACAGACCGGATGCCTGAAGCAACAGAAATGCACTTGCTCGTGGTTCTGGAGACTGGGAGTCCAAGATGAAGGGGGCGGCAGGTTCTGTTTCTTCTGGGGTCTCTCTGCTCCGTTTGCAGATGGCTGTCCCCTCATTGTCCTCACGTGGCCTCCCTCTGCACGAGGCTGGTGTCTCTTCCTCCTCGTACGCGCCAGACTGGATTAGGGCCCACCCTATGACCTCATTTGGCCTTAATTTCCTCTTTAAAGGCCCTTTCCAAATACAGTCACATCCTAAGGACCTGAGGGCTGGGACTTGCACATATGAATTTGGAGGAAGACAATTCAGTCCCTAACAGTCCAGGGTCCATTGAGCCTGTAATTCACACAGGGCCTTAGGGAGCCCACCACTGAGTGCCCTTGACATCGGCCACCCGGCCCCTGCTTTATGTGCCTCACTCGCTTTCTGTCCCCTCTTTGCCACAGACTTCGTGGCTAGTTTCCTAGTGGTCCTAAGGGAAGAAGGGAGCTGGGCCCTGGTGGGGTGCAGGGTGGTCTGCCAGATTCACACCTCTGGCCAAACCCCTTCAAGCCTCTGAGCTGACGTGCTAGGCTCTTAATGGGCCTCTCTCCGATAGGCGCCTGTGACTCGCAGCCCTGCCAGAATGGAGGCACGTGTGTTCCAGAAGGACTGGACAGGTACCACTGCCTCTGCCCACCAGCCTTCGGAGGGGAGGCTAACTGCGGTACGTATGCACGGGACTTCTGAGACTGACCGTTGGGGAGCCGTGGAACCTGGGCTCCCCCTACCAACCTCCCACCCTGCTAGCTACTAGGTAGAAACTGGCCCTTGAGTTTTAGAGCCACCCACTTTGCAGGCACACCGCCGATCTGTTGTTTCGTGTGATTCAGCCTCTGAGTGCTCCACGAATAAATAACTCAGGTGGTGATACCCTGGGTAGGACAGCAGCTCCTGGCGTATTATCTTTAGAATGGCCACTGCTTGCTCTTTGAGCATTGCTGAGTTCAGGTGCAGGCTGACGCCAGTCTGACTCTCAGTCCTGGTTCTGGGCAGTCTCTTCTCCCCTCTCATAGGAACAGGGGCAAAGGGACTAACCCCTGGTATGAGATGAAAATTATAGTAGGCTTTACCCTGTAGGGTTGCTGGGCATTTTAAATAAGGTAGATGGAAAGTGCCTTGTAACAAGGCTTGACACAGAGTAGGAGCTTATTAAACAAAAACTTTAAAATATATATATATATATTTA